TTCTGTTGCTGCCGATACAACTTCTGCCACCACCTCAGCGACCTCTACTCTCCTCTATTCTACAGTTCCCCATCTTATGCCTGAATCCTGTCAAGAACAGACCCAGACTTCTCTTCCACTTGGATTGGCTCATATGTCCGACACACGCCTGACTGATTTCGGTACATGGTCATTTGGTTTATTTTTAGATGGGCGTCAGAATTATGTAATCCGGAGTGCATGATATGATTTTTGACACTGGAATATTACGAGTAGTAATCCTTGACAAAAGAGAGACTTGGATGTTTTGAAGGAGTTAAGCAAAAACCAAGTTTAGTTCTTGGATATGAAGAAGGACTGGTTTCAGAAGAATCCTTTTATAGCTTGATGTTAACCTACATTTCCTTTCCTTTGAAGAGGTGGATGGAAGGGTTTTACAAATTGGCCTTATTGAAGCCTGAAGTAGGATTGTATTATAGTTGAGTTATGACTTAGATTCGTTAGTGCAATACACCCCATTTAGGCTCACTTGAGCAGTTCATATTCAATTTGTTTAGGCCAATGCGTTATATATAGTCCTTGTTTTCTTACCTAGCTTCATAAATAGCCATAAAGCTAACTCTTCTTTTATAGATATTTCTTTATCTGATTCTTTATTCATAGCGAAATACAAATAATCATAGCTTACGGTATGCACGATCTATTAATTTGTTACTTGCTTAGTGCGACATTTCGTCTGCTCATGTCTTATTATTTTTATACAGCTGCTATTTTTAGCTTATTATATTTACACCATCAATAACGATAGATCCTATGCTGAGGTTTGATGTAAATTATCTTTTATCGACTCGTCTAAAATGCATCGATAATTTAATTTGATCATCAAATTAATTTTATCTCCATCCATCTTTTATCTAGCTGCCACGAGCTCATTTGACAAAGAATCTGCACCTGCTCCGCCAGCTCATATATCCAATCTAAACACAAATGCCTCGGTAACCAAGCTTTCGCCTTCAACTCTCGTCCGTCGTCGCGGATTCCGACGTCGTCGACCAAATTTGGGGGCTCCTGTGATTGAAGTTAACCTCAATGCCAGCACTAAACCCGACGGTTCGACGCATAGATTTGCAGGAGACTCTGTTCCTTCGAGGAATTCAGAAGCCGAAACGGAGCCACAGTTGGTTCAACCCATATCGATCCCAGAATCTTCATTTACTGATGATAGCTCTAATCTATTGTTGGCACAGGCTATTACCACTATCGATTCCTGTGAATCCTATGAGGACAAGAGTATCTCAATATCTGCCACACTCTCAAATCTGCCCCAAAACGTCAACTCTAGCACACAACTTTCCAAGATGATGAATAGCTCTTTTGAGGTCCAAAAAATTAACAATGCAAGTGACCACTTTTCTTCCTCACTAATGCGTCTTTTGCATCTATACATCAAATCACATATTCATCGATGTCTCCACACTCACCAGTCTCATCAAGATCACCGCAAAAGTACTGATACTGAGGTTCCGATAATAGACGAACTGGGATTGCAAGAAAACGCACCGATCGAGGCTGAGTGGAAGAATACCCTCTTGTTTAAGAAGTCAAAAGGCACCAGAAACGATACTGCTGCCAGTGGGCCATTGTATCTTAATTGTGATCTAGCACGATTTTTTGTTTTTTTGTTACTCACACGGACTGTCTATTGATCTAGCACTTGTTTTATTTTTGTAGTTATCAGGCGATTATGAAAAAATTTTCTTCCCAATAATATTCTGAAATGTATTTATTAATTATATAAGATGTATTCATCCTATTTCGTTTAGGGTGGTGAAGGACTGGTCGTAGAATTTCTCACAACGATGTGAGTAGAGCTGACGTTTCCATTTCATTTCACTGAGACCTGCTTGCCCAAATGTTGTTTTCATCCAGGGTGGACTGGAGTTTCCATCTCGCATAAGTCTTATCAACACCTCCAGCGGGAGTCGAACTGTGACAGCACAGCATGTGAGCTTGACACGTTAACCACTCAGGCACATTGCGACTAGTATTCTTGCGCCACAAAGCTGATTTGAATATCAAGGA